CTGCTGTGAAACCTCCCGGCTGCTCCGAGGCTGCCGAGGCGGATCCCCAGGGCCCGGCCCCCCCGCCGGGGCACACCCTGCTGCGCACCCTCCGGGCCCGATCCTGCAGATAGCTCAGTGCCTTACTCCCTCAAATCCATTGCAAAATTTCAGTCCACCTCCAGTGCCGCAGCTTCCCCAGCTGCGGAAAAGCTTGAAGCTCTTTCGTATGTGATATTTCTTTAAAAAAACAGGGAAAGTTTCCAGATCTAGCTCGCTTTCTCCAGTACTGCAGCTTGGCACATTTATTGTCATTTTCGTTTCTCAAAGCCTCTGCACTGCTGTTCTTGAACACTAACAAGTATTTTCTCTGTGTTCACAGGTCCATCCTCTGTTAAGCTGGAGAATAAAGGGGATCTGTGCTTCATAAGCCGGCAGGCAGAGGTACAGTCTGCATAGCTCTTGAACAGAAGCTGACTGGAGCTGTTACGCCTGAAACGGGCATTAGGGCGTTGGGAGTTTCTGCAGCACCGGGGCTGCGGGTACAGCTGGTCTGGTGAAGTGCCCTCTGACCCCTCAGGACAGGATTTATACACCTGCTTTTAATGTCCTCCTGGCTCAAGCTACGCAAAATTTAAAGGAGCAGAAGGGCAGGGGAGGGCAACACGAAGCCCGGGTTGAAGTTTCTCGGCCGGGCGGGCTGGTCCTGCCGGCGCTGCGGGTCCCCCGGCAGAGGCTAATCAGTAACCGCTGGGCTCGGAGCCCGGGGTCATTTATCCACGGTATTTACTTTGGTTTCACCTGATGTTTGAGGTTCAGTTTTTTGATAACGGACACTGTCTCCATTGCTTAATTTCGGGGTGCTCCACGGAAGGAGCACCTCGTTCCTCTGCGACGTCAAACCACACTCCCCCGGGGGCCAGGCTGGGGAGCTCATTGCTGCTCTCAGCTGGAGCGACGGGTGCTCCGTGGTCACGAGAATTTGCACAAAGGGGCCTAAACACGAGCACGTAACTGTTGGGATTTTGAATGTGAATCTTTAGAAATCCCGATGTTTCAGCTCCCGGCTCTCACAGCCCCTGTTTCTTTGCCCCGGCCTTCACGGCCTGGCACAGCTCTGGCCAGGAGGCCCCCCCAGCAGTCCAAGACCTGGGCAGAACAATTCTTGCCCTTCCTATAACGCCCCCTCCTGTTCTTGGACGGGAGGGAGCGCAGCGGGCTGCAAAACTGCAGTGGCTCCTGACCCAAGCGATGGGTCAGAGGAGGGCTGTTTGCTGTTCTTTAAAAAATAAGTTGGCTTCTATGGAGTGTAAACAGAATTCTGCTAATCCTAGTGTTCCCCGCTGATCTCGCCCCAACTTCCTTTGTTTTTTCTTGCTGTAGAGCAAAAAAGCAAATCAGAAACTCCAAATCAAACCGACTAAGGATCAAAGGAGGACAAAGAAACAGGAACCCGTGAGGAATCCAAAAACTGAGCGAGAGCTTCTTGGAGAGCTTTACGCTGATAAGGCCTACCTAGAAAAGCTGCTCAAGGATGAAGGTCTTTCTCTATTTTATTTAACTAAATGCTCTAAGCAAGTTAAGCAAGCTCTTTTTTATTTTCTTCCCTGTGACCACTCTTCCTTCTGTGTACCAGAGCTCACCTCACACATACAGTGGTTGTGCGAGAGGCAGGAGCCTGGAGGGTGCAGGTGTTTCTGGAGCCAGATCCAATATTCATAACTATCAGCATATTTCCTTCCCTATTCATTGTCAGGATTTTATAACGAACAATAGATCAACTCAAAGAGATCTGTGCTGGTGAAATCAAAAGCAGAAACAGTATCACTGCAAACTCCTTCTGCCTTAATGTTAAATTCCACCAACACCTGCATTAAGTGCAAAGCGTTGCTCCGAAGACTGTAACTCATCTGTGGGTTTGTTATAAACGCTGTCTGAGATCAAGGTGAAGGATCTGGAGAAGTATCTTCGTTTAGAACTAGGCAGAAAGGTGGTTCCCCCTTAGGAATTCTTCCAGGGAACTCTTTGCCCAGTGATAGAGAGGTAACTAAGAGCTCGCTCTCCTGGCAGGGTGATGGCATCGCTCGCATGAAGAGCGTCCGTGGCTGCCTGGTTCCCAGGCGTGTGCGGGCTCTCGCAGTTTCCCTCTCGCAGCCTCACCACAGGCTGTTCAGCCCCCCCACGCAGCCGTTTCTGCCCAGGGCTTCGCCCCCGCCGGCCCCGGAACGGCCCCTCCGGCTCTGCCCGGCGCCAGGGGCTGGGAACCCGCTCTTGCTCCAAACCCGCCCAGAACGGGCGCCTGCCCTACCTGCTCCCCTCGCCGCGCCGGGCCTGAGGGCGCCGAGGACTTTCACTTCCAGGACTGTCAGAGCAAAAAACCGTTCCCAGCCAGTCCCCCGCTGAACTGCAGCTCCGTCCGCACCCACGCTCACACCCCCCTGGGTTCTACCATCTTGTCCTCAGATTTGATGGAGAGCAGCACAAAGCAGGGCACCAAAGTAGCAGACCTGGTTCTGAGCGGCATCTCCTACCTGGACACTCGCCGTGAGTTCTGGCAGCAGCAGAAGCCTCTTTACGCCCGCGAGAGAGAGCGCAAGCTCAGGCAGCGAAGGTGGATCCCGGACAGGACGCGAAAACCAGCCGAGGTTGGCAGATCCATCGTGAAGAGCATGGAGGACATCCAGCAGTGTAGGTATCCTGGCTGCAAGCAGCCAGAACATGATGACCGGCACGTGTAATTATTTTCTGTAGTAATAACAGGCCGGAACCAGAGCAGCAGCGCGTCCACGAACAGCAGTAGGTGGTTTTGGGGAAGTATTTGCTTTTGCATTCATCACCTTTCCCAGCGCTTTCTTAGATACAGAATCCAACACATTTTTTTTCTCAGCTTTTTCTCTACCTGCTGACTGGTTTTCAGGACAGCGCTGGGATGGCGAGGCCAGGCAGGCCCCTGCCGCCTGCCTCTGCTCTGGGAACCGGCAGCGGCTCCACCGAGAGAATGCAGGCTGCTGCGCTTCATCACTTCTGTGGCTCAGAAATGTCATTGCAGAGAGAGAAGCAGCTGAGAAACAGTGCTCTGGAAGGAAGGAGCAATTAATCGCTGGTCTCCTCTCCTTCTGTGCTGCATGTTTCCCACCCTGGGAAACCCGTGGTGGTTACTGCAGTTCGGGTCTTTCGAGCTACAGCGGCTGGGGGAAGGTGGGGTCAGAAACACCCTGCAGCCGGCTCCTGCACCAGGGTGCCACGAACAGGGCTCACCAGGGAAGTGCAAGGGGCTCACTTAGGAAAGAAAAACCGCGAGTGCTGTAGCTAGAACCTCAGCTCCAAGGCCAGGCCGCCCGGCTGCAGCACCTGAGCTGTCAGAACCCTTGGCCAAGCACCCGTCGCCTTTTTCCCCAGCAGGCGGGGGGGGTCACAAGTCCTTTCCCTGGACTTACCCTGACGACAGTGATCTCCCGGGGTGCCAGGTGCAGGGCCAGAAGTACCATCTCGCAGGGGCAGGTTCTCGGAGGGGTGTTGGAGATGCTGAGGGGCCGGGAGCTCCAGCCTCTCCCAGCTCTGTCGGGGGGGTACAACCACGCCTGGTCTCGCCTCCCGCCAGCACTAAACTCTCCTCCCTGTGCGCAGTGCTGGCCGGGGACTGCCCCGAGGGAGGCTGCAGGAAAGCTGAGCGGCTGCTGAAAACCATCCAGGGGTGCTCCGAGGACGAAGTTCCCAACAAGGGGGAACTGCTGGGAAACCTCCTGAGCTGCATTGGGAACGCTCAGTTCGAGATGGGCCGGACAGAGGCGGCTCTGCAGAGCCACAGGATGGATCTGGAGCTTGCCAGGCAGAGGTGAGAGCTGGGGGGTTCAGGGGAGGGGGGAAAGGAGGAACGTTCCTCTGCAAGGGCTTTTGGCATCAGGTGGTGTAACCCTCCCCTGGATTTAACAGGGCAGCGCACTCAGACTCTGCCCAGGTATCATGGTCTCTAGTGACTTATCTTCACTATTTCAAAAATAAGGAGCCTGAAGCAGATTTCTAAAGGACCTCGACCACGTGGCACATCTAAAACCAGGCTGAAGCAAAGCAAAAGAGCACCCAAGTCTCAGTCTCAGCACTTCAGCCTCTAGTACCCACTTCCTTCTCTGGGAGGTCGGGCTCTAAATGACACCAGTTTTCTGCTACTTTTTTCTCTTAAAATCGTTTGCATCCAAACCGTGATAGCAGCCTTGAAATAGTTATCTAAGAGGTACAATTACCTGCCCACACAGAGCGCGTTTTAGCTCCTTCAGCTAAAACAGAGTGGAGCAAAGTGTGGTCTTAAGATTTACTAAGAGTTTTGCAGAGCACGGGAGAAAACACTGAACAGCTGCTTGGACTGAAGTTATTTCGGTTTTATTTTTGCCAATACTGCACAGGGCTTTTAAAGCGAGACTCTTATCAAATTTTCACAAATCCCTTTTTAAAATTAATACTGGTTTAAGAAAATTTCTGCCTCCCTCCTGGCGATCTCCACTCCCCAAGTTTTCACCAAATCAAGTTAAGAATTAGCAGTAGAGAGGCGGGAATGACGGTGAAGCTGCGTTTCCAGGCAGGCGGTGCCTGGGGGGGGCTTCGGGGCTGGAGCTCAGCAGGGCGAGAGGAGACGCGTTAAAGCCTCGCAGTGCCCCCGACAAGGCATTTATCCTCCTCGTCAGCTTTTCCAGCTGTAAGGTAAGGGCAGTCAGAGCAGGCCGCTTCCGAGGGTGGGAACCAGGGCTCATTAAGGAAAAAAAATTAAGTCCACAGGCTACATTATTACAGAAGCTGCCCCTAGCATGGGGCGAAGGCTCGTTCGGAGCAGAGGGAGCAGGGCTGTTACCCAGAGCCTGGGAACACTGGGCAGGCTTGGATGGGTCTGGCTCTTCCCTCTTGGACAGGACTGGTCGTGTTGGGCCCCGGGAGCTGGCAGGGAACCTCCGCGGGACCCACAGGGCAACAAAGGGAAACCGAGGCAAAGCGAAGTAGAAAGACTTTTACAAGGGCTGCCAGGTTTGCACCAAAACAACCCAAACCCAAAACTAAACCACTTCCCCCTGCATCTTACCGGGCGTCAGTTGCAACAGCTGTAGATGAAATTGAAAATCCGCCTTGATTTTATGACTTTCAGTCTGATACGGGCCCTTGACCTCTGCTGCTCCCCACTTCGCCCGAAGTGACGCCCAGCACCAAAGAGAACGTGAGGCTGAAGAAAGCCCAGACTATGTCAGGACCGAGGCTGAGCCGGTGTGTGAGCTGGCACAGGCAGGACGCAGGGACAGCCACAAAGCCACGGCCCAAATGCCGAGGGTCAATTTATTCTTGTTCCCTCGCGACCTGGGGGGGGAGGAATCTCTGCAGCAGCACCCGGGCAGGGGCGGAGGGCGGCAGGCGGGGACGCCGGAAAGGCGAGGAGAAAAAGACCCTGAACCTGCTGCTTTCACCCGTGTGTCGGGGGTTTTCCCAGGCGTAGTTTTCTACCGTGCTCTGATCTCTCCCGCAGCAGGGCAGGGACCTCGGGCAGGTGCCTCGGAGCCTGTCCCAGGCCTCTGTCACCCAAGCACAGATGCTCTACCTGTCGGGCTCACAAAACTAAACCTCTAGTGTGATAAACGCGTGTTTCGACACCCCAGCTGCAAGTCACTCGAGCGTGTTTACAACCCCCCTTGCCAATCTTCCGTTCTACTCCGACAGTCAGCTGCTACAATTTATTTTTCTTTCCATCACAGGGATCTGCCAGACGCCGTGTCCAGAGCCCTCGGTAACATCGGCAGAGTTTACGCCAGGATCAGCAAATTCCAGCAAGCCATTGACACGTATGTAAGATTAGTAACAGAGAAGGCGTAAGGCTGTTTTGTAGATGATGTTTTTTCAGTTTGTTTACTCATACTGGCAGCAAGGGGGGGCTGGGAGTACCTGGAATCCTCCTTTTATAGAATCAGTGGTTGAAATTCTAACTGTGCCTGGTGAGATCTGCTAAACGTCTTTCTTACTCTCTGCTCCAAGTTGGGAGGAGAAGATTCCAATGGCAAAATCCAGCCTGGAGAAGACTTGGCTGTTCCATGAAATCGGCCGATGTTACCTGGAGCTGGACAAAGCTGAAGCAGCCCAGAATTACGGCCAGAAGTCCCTGCAGGCGTCACGTGAAGAGGGAGATGTTGAGTGGCAACTCCGTGCCACTGTCCTGGTGGCACAAGCACAAGGTACAGGCGGTGGTACAGGTTTTGCTCTCGGGATGGCGACAGCCCGTCCCTTCACACCTCGTAAGAACATCTCATTTAACGGCCAAAGGAACTGTTCAGACCAAGAGCCCTCATCTGAGACTTGCTCAATTAACTATTATTCTCTTGATCGTGGCTTAAAACAGATGTTTTCATTTGTCTGTTACAGTGAGGTTGAAGGATTACTGGTCTGCGATCAGGAACTTTGAGAAAGCCCTCGAGAAGGCAAAGCTTGTTCACGACGAGGCTGCTCAAAGGGCCGTCATTGCTGTAAGTGGGTGGTTGTGAAGAGGAGACGCTTGGGCCGTGGCACTAAGCTGGCTCTAACCACTGCCTGGTGAACTGAGCAAACGTCCCTGCACAGGTGGTGTGTTAAGAGGGGGAAAACGCAGCCTCTGAAGCATATTGGAAGTTTTGAAACCTCCTGGCTCGGAAAACTTAACCCCAGTTTATGAACCAGACCAACGTATAAAAGGATGAAGCCCCGGCCCTGCTCAGGTCGAGGGGAAAGGTTCTTTGGGCCTCCCTGGGGCAAGGATTTCCCACGGAGAGTGGCTGATCACAGCTCACCCTGTCCTGCCCTCTCCGTGGGCACGGCCAGGGACCCGCGGAAGGCGGCCGCCAGCCCCCACTGACCCGGCCGCGAGCTGGGGGGGTCCGGCTGAGCCCAGCTTGCCCGGCACCAGTTCCAGCACAGGCACCCACACCAGATCCCTCACGGGCATCCAGAGCTCGGGCACGGCCCGCTCACAGGTGGCAGAAAAAGGGGAGTGTGAGAGAGGTGGGATCCCCCGGGGAGGGGACGCCTGGTCCGGTAGGAACGGCTGCAGGGGGGACCAACACGGTAGGAAAGGACCGGGAGCGATAGCAGGGGGAACAGGAAAATCTGTAAGTACGTACCTGCATTCCTAGAGCTTTTGCTAATGAGCCCTCTCGCTGTCAGGCCTTAGATGACGTGAGCAAAACCTTCGTCGAGGAGCTGGACAGGAGAAGAGAAGCGAGAGTTTCCTCTGTTGAAGGCGTCATTTAGACCTCGGCACCCCATAAATGTAAAAATTCTCCATTTCCCTTCTCTGGAGCACAGATGGATGTGTGGGAACAAAGCACCCCCCGTTCCCAGGTGACGAGCACCCGGATTTCTGGCCCACGCCGCATCCTCCGGGCGAGGACGGCCGCGGGGCTCGCGCGGGTGCGGAGCTGCGGCCAAGTCCTAATTTGTAGCCTCCGGGTTTCGGAAGCGAAGGTTTAATCTCGAGCTGGTGTAAACCACAGCGGCGATGGTGGTGTTGGAGGGGGCCTCGGGCAACCTGGGCGAGCGGGTGGGGCTGGGTGGGCTTTGGGGCTGGTGGCCCTGGCGGAGGAGCCGCCTTTGCCAGACCCCCCCCGCTGCGCTTTTCGCAGCCCCGTGGCGACCCCGGACTCGCTCGGGAGCAAAACGCGGCTCGGAAGGCGACCGAGAGCCGCGGGGCAGGAGGGGGCAGC